AAGTGCCGGGGTAGCATTTTGGGAAATGGGGCCGGGGAAGGGAGGAGAGGCGTTACCCCCAGGTGAGATGACTCGTCCCGTGCAGATTGACTTGAGTATTTTCCACACCCAGGGGATGGGGCCCAAGTTCTAAAGGCAAAGCTGCTGTTTTGATGTTCTCAACCAGAAAAAGAAGGTAGTACCAGAGGCTGTGCTGCCTGTAACATAAAAGCTGCACCGAGGCACGGAAGGCGCTATTTTTCTGGACCTTTACGACCCAGGGCAACCGTTTCTTCCTGGACCCTTGTGGTTGGTGCCCCCGTATGTGCGGCACATCCCTTGTAATGACTTTCTCGGATCGGTAAGAAGCAAAACTCAGAGGACCACACTCGGGGCTTCTGTAGCGAAGGGGCAGCGTCACAAACAGTAAACCAGTGGTTCTCAACCTTCCTAATGCCGCGACCCTTTAATACAGTTCCTCCTGCTGTGGTGACCCCCAACCATAAAATTATTTTCGTTGCTACTTCATAACTGTAATTTTGCTACTGTTATGAATCGTCATATAAATATCTGATATGCAGGATGTATTTTCATGGTTACAAATTGAACATAATTAAAGCATAGTGATTAGTCACAAATACAATATGTGTTTTCCGATGGTCTTCAGCGACCCCTGTGAAAGGGTTGTTCGACCCCCCAAAGGGGTTGCGACCCACAGATTGAGAACGGCTGCAAGTAAACGATATTGGAAGTGAATCAGCTGCGTACAGGTGGTTATATGACCTGACCCTATCTCTAAAGATCTTTGCCACGTGTACTTTGGATGTGGAGACTCCAAAGGCTTTTTCCTTGGGTCCCATATAGTTTGTTGTCCTCGGTGACACGGGTCAGAAGAAGTCCAGAAAGCCCTTCTTTGCAAAGAATGAGCTGATTTTTTTGTCCCCATTTCAAGTTGTCAGGACTTGTCCTTCAGATCAGGAGAGTGGGCTTTCTTTCATTTGTACAACAAGTCCATCAAGAGACGGTTGTTTTGATTGTAAAGGTTAGCAAATGATTTGAGCACCTATTGTGTGCCACGCACTGCACTGGCCATTGCCATTGCAAAGGTGAATTTCAGACAACAGCCCCTTTTCTCAAGAAGTGTAGGCAGTAAGGACAGCAATTACCTACATGGCAGCATTCTTGGGATTTTAACTGGAGCTCTGAGGAGGCCCCCAACCCCACTTTCTGGAGTCCGTGGCTGGCTGGGTCTTAAAAGATGAGTGGGTGTTACCTTGGTGAAGGAGGGAGTAGAGCAGCAGCAGAGAAGGAAATCTGTAGTGTTTCTGCTGAGTGGTTCTGTCAGGAGTGTTACAGGGGACTCAGGCCACCATAAGCCTTCTGTCTGAGCTTGGCCTTGGGCCTGATGCCAGGGTCTAAACTCAGGACCTGTGGGGTCTGGGGCAAGTCATATCAGTGAGTGAAGTGAGCTGGGTTCCAGACTGGAGGGGGTGGTGGAGGGTGCAGTGGACTACCGGTCACGTGCCCTTTGTGAAGAGGGTAGTTGCCATTCGGCTCTGCTGGTGGATAGTCTAGGCACAGAATTGCCAGGTCGGCTTTTTTAAAAGCCAGAATCCATATTTTTATTATGTCATTGGGTTTAAAACTTAGTGGGCTAAACAAACCCCATTTAGAAGTTGGATTATGCCCCCAGGCCACTAGTAGCAACTTTTGGGTGTGAATAAGGGAGAGCCATTGAAGGATTTTAGACATAAATGCTCATCACTGTGGCTGGTATCTAAGGATGAATTCTAGGCTCAGGTCTGGAGGCAGAGGTACCATTAAGTTACTGCAGAAATGTGGACAGAAAACGTTGAAGGCCGGAATTAGGGCAGTGGTAGGAGGAATGGAGAGCAAGAGCTAAGTTTGGGGAGGAGTGTTTATGAGATAAAGTAGGCATGTTTTGGGGGTAGGTGATGGAGGGGAGGGGAGGTGACTGGAAGGAGCCATGGCTTGAGTGACTGGATGGCATCACCTACAACCAAGGTGGACAGTGCAGGAAGAATTGGTGAGGAGCAGAGAGGAATGTGTCTGATTTAGGGAATGTTGGTGTGGAATGTGCATGGGACATCCCAGTAGACATGACCTTTAGGCAGTTGGGTATGTGGACCTGGCGCTCAGAGGAGGGATCTGGGCTGCGGGTTTTATTGTTGATCCGGCCTGGGGGTTCTATTATTTATAGTTATTTTTGTTGATACTATGTTGGGGTGAGGGGGTTTTCAGATTGTGCTGCCTGCCCTATCTGCTTTCCTTTCATTCCTAACTACTTGTTCTTTAGCACAGTCCCTTCACACAGCATTTTTATTCTTGGTTCATGGTAAACATATAATAACTAATTAATACATTATTTTGTTTTAATTGTGGGAAAGGCTGTGAAGAGCAATGGGTTCCAGAGACCCCATAAGGGAGGGTCTAGCCTGGTTTGGGATATGGTGGAAAACTTCGCGAGGAAGGGACTTTTGAATTTGGCTTTAAAGGGTAAGAAGGAATCGATGAGGTGAAGACAAAGTGACAGGGATAAAGGCTTCTAAGTAAGTTTTCGGGTGGCAGGAGTATCATGAGGGCAAGGAGGAGTACCATGCTGTGGCAGAGCTGAAAGAAGGTTCTAGAGAAGTAGGTGGGTGGCCTTGAGGATGGAGGCTCCTGTGAGCTGCAGTGAGGACTGATCTGCTGTACGCGCACAGTGGTGAACCATCACAATGTAGAGAGAGGGCTGGTTGTTTTATCAGAAGCACATTCACAGAGTACCAGCTGCAGGTGTGCAGGCAGGTCCTGTGTCGGGGCAGCATATGGTGCAGTGCAGCAGCCCTCACCTCCTAGGTCAGGGGTGGGCAAACTTTTTGACTCGAGGGCCACAATGGGTTCTTAAACTGGACCGGAGGGCCGGAACAAAAGCATGGATGGAGTGTTTGTGTGAACTAATATAAATTCAAAGTAAACATCATTACATAAAAGGGTACGGTCTTTCTTTTTTTTTTAGTTTTATTCATTTCAAACCGGATCCGGTGGCTGGGATGCTGGTGGCAGGGACAGTCTGGAGCCTCATATCAACTACAGGGAGGCAATACATAGGAAAGGGTTTAAGCAAATGAGTGATGTGATTGAGTTATGGTTTTAAAAGATAGTCACTCTGGTCAGAGGGAGGACAGCAAGGATTAGAGCTATATGTTTTACAGGGTAAAGCTATACTCTTAAACAGTAGAGTATAATTTAACATGGTTTTTCTATATTTTTCATTTTAGAAATCAGGACCTTTGATATTTAGGAAAGTTATGTTTAATTCCACTGACATCAAGTTTTCTGGTAAGTCTTATAAACTAATGCAATACTACCATAACAACATATCATAAACGAGTAACATGTTATAAACTAATACATTAATTGAATGTATGCTAATGTAACATGGTATTATATTTTATAAAACAGGAAAATGATTTTCAATAGTTCTAACATATTAAGGGTTTCTTTTGTTTCTGTCAAGTCTTGCTTATTTTCAAGAATGGCTTTTTCTATTTCAGAAAATGTAATATGATCATTCTTTAAAAACTATAATTAAAGTCTAATAAATTAGGCTTTAGCAAAAGATATTTGACTTCTGTAAAATTTGACTCTAGCTCTTAGCTTTTAAAACTAGATAAATTGCTTTTATGAATATATGAAATGTCATGATTGTGATAAAACTTTTATGTCCCTCAATTTTCTAAGTATACATATGATCATAGTATAAATAAAAATTACAAGACACTAACATTTTAACTAATATTTTAAGGCTTATGAAAGTGAAAATATCTGTTAGGGACTATGTTGTCCATGTAAATACTGCTGTGCAAGGATGACCAGGTCATAGATCTTGAGGTTTTCAATATCTTTAATGGGTTTACATTGGATCATATTTACTGTGGTCCAACTCCTCTTGGTGTTTCCAGTAACTTGACTGGGTAAGTTTTTTGCCAGGGTTAAGTTTTGAGATAGGGAGTATTTTTTTGTTGGGTAACACAGACTGGCTTCCTGAGGATCCAAAGCCGGGACCCTTTTCTCTGTCACCCCATGTTCTGATCATTTGTTGGGTGAGGGCCATACGTGGGTCTTTCCTGAGGGAACCGGGCCAGCCATCAGCTATAAAGCAGAGGTGGTTCAAAGCAGCCTGGTGATATCAGATCATCAGTGGTGATACGAGCTTGTAAGAGGAAACTGAAGTGCAAGGTGGGTGAGGAAAAAATTTTGGCATCTGATTGCTTTAATGAATTCATGTCTCAATGTCTAGACAAATAAGAAATTATGTGGGGGCAAAAGTTACATGGACCAGTGAAACACAGAATTTTATTTATAAAAAAGACAATATGTAATGTCAGAGATCAGCCTAAGAGAAGACAGACAGTAGTCAAGACATCTAAAGAAGGAATGAGCAGCAGGAGGAGTTAGGAGCAAAAGCATAAGAAAATGAGGGTTTAGTTGAGCAAAAAACCTGACAGTGTCCAATGGTATCAATGGAGAGAGGTCTTGGGGAACTCTGACTACAGCTGTGACATGTGGCTGGCAGGTGTGGATGTAGCATCCACCTGAGCCTCCTGTTCTGGTGCCATGCTCATCAGGATGCTTTCTCATCACCATTGGGCATCGGAAGGCATGCTGAAGGGAGATAATTAGTTGATTATTACCCATTCATTTTCAGTTACTATTCGTTTTAAGTGAGTTACTGAACATTCTAGTTCAGCAGTCGCCAACCTTTCAGACCTCTGTGGACCACTGATTGGCGACTGCTGTTCTAGTTCATACCTCTACATTGGTGGTGTGGTGAAGGCGTGAGATGAGACTGAGTCTGTGTTCTCACAGAGCCAGATTTTAGTGCCTGCAAACTAAGAATTGGTACCTTTAATATGTGGTCATGCAGTTTGGTGGATCAGATGTCTGACTTCCCTTAGGTGACCACTGTGCTGCTTTATTCAAGATGTAGTCATGAAGTCACTATTGAAAATCTCTCAATGTTATTCACCAAATTAACAATGAAATACACTATATAATTATCTCACTATATTCAGAAGAGCATTAGAAAAAACTCAATACCCATTCATGATAAAAACTCTCAGAAAACTAGAAAAACTTCCTCAATCTGATAAAATTATGATTTTCATAAAAGCGTCCTGATGACATTTATGAAAAATCTATACCTAACATACTGTCAGTTCTTCCCAGATTGATCTATAAATTCAATTAATTCTAATCAGAATCAAAGTTGACTTTTATGTAGAAATCGACTTTCTAAAATTTATATGTAAATACAAAGGGCCTAGAATAGCTAAAGCAATTTTGAAAAAGAGCAAAGTTGAAGGGATTTTACTATTCGATTTCAAAACTTACATAAAGCTACAGTGATCATAACAGTGTGGTACTGGCATAAGGATAGAACAAGGAATCAGACTAGAGGCCCAAAAATAAACCCACATGCATAAAGTCCATGGATTTTCAACAAAGGTGTAAAGATAATTCATTAGAGAAAGGATAGTCTTTTCAACAAATGATGCTGGAACAGCTGGGTATCCACACTGAAACACAGACCTTCGATTGTGGACTTAAAAGCTCTATCCCCATCTCTGTCCTCCCCTCCTGGTCCCATTTACAAATGTTAGACTGCTGATACTGTCTCACAGGTCACTGAGGCCCTGCTACATTTTTTTCTTTCTATGCTTCATTTTGGATATTTCTGTTGTTTTGTCTTCAATTTCAGTGATCTTTTTCTTCTGCAGTACCTAATCTGCCATTAATCTCATACAATGAACTTTTTATTTTGGATATTGTATTTTTCAATCTCTGGCAGTTTGGTTCTTTTTAAAAATACCTTATTTCTCTTATCAGTATTTTCATGGTTTTCTTTATATATTTGAGCACGTGGAACATATTTATAGTAGCTGTTTTTACATTTTTATCTGCTAATTCTGTCATTTTTGTCATTTACATAATCTTTGTCATATAGACTGATTCATACCATGGATAGGAGTTGAATTGTCCTGCTTTTTATATCTAGGGGTTTTGTTTGGATGCTGGATTTTGTGAATTTTGCATTCTTGAGTGCTGTGATGTATTTCTTGAACAACTTTGTTCTGGCAGAGAGTTAAGTTTCTTTGGGTCAGTTCTATCCTTTCCAATTTTATTTTTAATTCTTTCAGGATGGGTCTGGAGTAGCCTTTACTCCAGGGCTGACTTAGCACCACTTCTCAGGTGTGACCCTTCTATGTCTCTCCTTGGTGCTTGGCGTATTGAATGAGGCCTGTGAACTCTGGCTCATGGAAACCCAAATAGTGCAAGCCCTATGTAAACTCAGAATTGTGGGACTTCTCCCTGTGCATGGGCAACTGCTATGCAGCTAGAGCCTCAAGGGGATATTTGTGCAGAGTGCTTTTCTCCTTCTCTGAGTAGCTCCCAACTCTTGGTGCTCTGCCCCAGAAATTCTACCAACCTGAGCCCCTGGAAGTCAGTTTGTGTATCAGTTTGGGTTTCCTTTGGTTGCCTTCATGAGGTTCACAATGGTACCTGCCTCCTGGTATTCATGACCTGTGTAATCCCTGCATTATATCAATGTTGATCTGACCAGTAGAATATGGCAGATGTAATGGCATCACTTATGATGCTAGGTCATAAAAGACACTGTGGCTTCTTTGCCCTCTCTCTGGTGATATGCTGCCATGTTGTGACAAAAAAGAGCTTTGTCTTATTCTAGACTTAATTCTTTTCCGTCTGTGTAATATTGTTATCTTCCTTCTGGAAACGCCTATATATATAAAAGGCTAATAGGCTAAGTGTCCAACTGTCTGACTGGTCGCTATGATATGCACTGACTACCAGAGGGCAGACGCTCAACGCAGGAGCTGCCGTGACGTGCACAGAGAAACGACACCGTGGACCTGGTGCTCACAAAGCAGCACTCGGCTCCCCCCAAGTGGGACACAGGCCCCGCCACCACCCTAGAGCAACAGCCCACCAAATCGCACCCGATGCTGCTGAGACCCCATGTGCAAAATGCAGTCCACAGCACAGCCCAGAAACGATGGCTGTGGGCAGCAGGTAATGACATCACGTGGCAACACCCAGCTTCCTCTCCCTAGCGACAAGTCATTTAACAACAAATGGCACTACAGACCTGGCACCCACAAAGCAACACTCAGCTTCTCCCAAGTGGGACACAGCCCTGTCACCACCCCAGAGCAACACTCCACCAAATCGCAGCCAACGCTGCCGAGACCCCATGGCACAAAATGTGACCTAGTGGCTGTGGGCACCGGTAATAATGTCACGTTTTTGTTGACATTCTGAAGCCGAAATCGTCAATAGTATATGCCTGAAGACCAACTATTGCCACAATGTATCTCCGAAGCCGAAAGAAGCCGGCGTCATCAACAGAATGTATCTGAAGAACAACTATTGGCACAATGTGTCTCTGAAGCTGAAAGAAAGCTACCTTTGGAAATAGTGTATCTGTAGGTAATATTAAAACTAGAGGCCTGGTGCATGAAATTCGTGTACTCGAAGGGGGTTCCTAAGCCCGGCCTGTGCCCTCTTGGAATCCAGAAGCCCTTGGGGGATGTCCAACTGATGACTTAGGCCTGCTCCCTCAGACATCCTTAGCACTGCTGTGGAGGTGAAAGAGGCTCCTGCCACCGCCACTGCGCTTGCCAGCCGTGAGCCCGGCTTCTGGCACATTGACCACCAGGGGGCAGCTCCTGCATTGAGCGTCTACCAGGGGGCAGCTCCTGCATTGATCGTCTACCCCCTGGTGTCAGTGCACGTCATAGCGACTGGTCGTTGTGCCATTCGGTTGATTTGCATATTAGCCTTTTATTATATGGGATCTATCTAAACGTGTGATTCTTTGTCCAAAAAATGAGCATGTTCATAAATTAACTGAAGAAATTTTGGATATACTCAGTGGATATTTTCACACCTATTTGAGTGGTGATTCCATCGATTCAACAAATGCTAAAAAGGAAATTTTCCCATCAAATTTCTTAATAGTATTACTCCTTTGGGAATGCTGTGTCATAAATTAAAGTTGAAATAAGGTGTATTCATCATGCTACTGAGAAATCTTATTAGTAAATGGGGTCTTTGTAATGGTACTAGATTTATGATCATAAGATTGTGACATAATCAAGGCTGAAATATTCACAGGATCTGCGGAAGGAGAGTTTCTGATTCCAAGAATTGATTTCTCCCCATCTGACACTGGCCTCCCACTTAAATTAATTCGAAGACAGTTTCCCGTGATGCCAGCATTTGCAATGACTATTAACCCCTAGGGGATATTGGTTGGCACTCAATATCCACAAGGACAAACTCTAGACAGAGTCAGGAATATTCCTACTTGAACCCTTTTTTGGACATGGTCAGTTATATATTGCTTTCTCTCAAGTTCGAAGAGCATGTGACATTAAAGTTGTAAATACTCCATCACAAGGGAAATTAGTCAAGCACTCTGAAATTGTTTTTACTCTTAATATGGTATACAGGGAGATATTAGAATAAGTTTAATCAATTTAGCAGTCATTGTATCAATGTTTTTATATTTTTGTTGTTTTTATATCATCTTTTTGTTCTTTTTATATCATGCTTTTGAATTTATGTCATGTCTGTTGTTATAGCATGTTGTTATTTATTTCATAATCAATTTATATATTATTTTCATGTACATTTTATTAATTTTCACCTCTGACACTTCTGTTATAGAGAAAGGGCAAATAGCGATATTAAAATATTTATTTTAATTAGTTTCCTTTCAGTGTGCACGAATTTGTACACTAGGCCACTAGCTTAAAAATAAAGGAAAACTCCCTAGCAGAACATAAGAGCCCTTATGAATTTTCTCCAGTTTCCCCAATCTGCACTCTAAGCATAGCACACTGTTTTTAGATGGGCCTGCTTATGCCATTCACTCACTTTTCCTGAGCATTTGCATGTACTCTCTCATCCTCCTCCTCACCTGGCTAACTCTGGCTACCCCTTCACATTACAGCCCTTCTCCTCCAGCAAGCCTGCCAGCACCCCATTCTTCATACTCTCCTGGGACCTGTTTAATTATTAACCTGCTGTTTCCCCAATCCTCTATGTAAAGGAGAGGAACTGTTCTAGATTTCCCATTATGTCCCTTCTTGGCACACAAGGGGTGCTTGCTCAGTATTTTTTGAATGGCTTAGCGAAGAGAACACCTAAAGTGAAGTAAGCAGTGTCAACATGTCTGGCTACTCGGTTGATTTTAACACCGGACTTAACATATAGATGAAATGAACAGTAGTATAGCAACTTTTGACTAACCTTGATAATTTAATTTAATGAATTTACTGTTTCATTTTGCAGTGAATTTTGGAGAAATTAAGTAATGTTTTACTCATTGTTTCATTGAAGTAGCCCATTTTAAATTATATTCTTAAAACCTGAAGTTTACATTGGAGTATGTATATTATTATTGAAAAATGAGACTTTCTTTTTTTCAACAGTTAAATCATTCAAATGTCACGAGCCTATGAAGTTTACCATAGAGTGGTATTTGAAGCATTATACCTGTCAAAATGAATATGCTAAGCTGGATGTAAGTAAAACACAATTTTAAAAAAATTATATTTATTGAGGTAATATTAACATGATATACCTTTTAGGTATGCAACATTATAATTCGATATCTGTGTACTCTATTGCATGTTACCACCAAAGTCTGGTCTCCTTCCATTACCATATATTTGACCCCCTTTGCCCAATTTGCTCCTCCCACCCTCTTTCCCCTGTGGTAACCACCATACTGTTGTTTGTCTATGAGTTTCTTTTTGATTATTTTGTTAGTTTGTTACTTTTTGGGGTTTATCCCATATATGAGTGAAAACATACAGTTTTTTGTCTGACTTATTTCACTTAGCATAATACTGTCACGATCCATCCATGTTGTCACACATGGCAATATTTCACTCTTTTTTATGGCTGAGTGGTATTTCATTGTATATGCATACCACATCTTCTTTAGTCAAATCATTCATTGAAGGACACTAGGTTGTTTCCATATCTTGGCTGTTGTGAATAATGGTGCGATGAACACAAGGATATCTTTATGAATTAGTGTTTTCATATTTTTGTCAAATTATCCAGAAGAGGAATTGCTGGGTCATATTGTAGCTCTGTCCTTAATTTTTTGAGGAACCTCCATAGTGTTTCCCATAGTGGCTGTACCAGTTTAAAATCCCACCAACAGTGCATGGGCGTTTCCTTTTCTCCATATCCTTGCCAACACGTGTGGCTTGTCTTTTTTATAATAGCCATTTTAATAGGTGTTATGTGAATCCCATTAACACAAATTTTTGATGTATGTGAAGCTACGAAGGAAAATTATGAGTATAAAGATTTATTAGCTCATCAGGTGAAGAGGCTAGAAATATAGATTATAGTCTTAGAAGTGCCACAGATTAAATTTGGGCCTTAGGTGATACATGCTTTAATTCTATCAAAGCATATGCTTTCTGAGAAGAATACAGATCTTTTCATTTACTTGTATCTTATGAAAATGTTAGTAAATTTTAAATCGAACATGTAGGGTCACATGTAAAAAATAAATTTAGGAAAGTAATGTAAAAGTTTCACTTCATTAAAAAATTAATAATAGGGCACCTAGAACTTATGTGAGTTACAGGTAGATTTAATTTGAGCAGATCTCAGAAAGAAGTGAGGAAGGGAAGGAACCATCAGGAAAAGGTGGGGGAAAGTCGGGGGTGGAGGGAGGCGGTGGAGCTGTGAGAGAGGAAGAGAGGTCAGGCGGGATTTGTCCTGCCCCGGCCCTGCAGCCTGAGCCCCTGAGTCCTCATCCAGGTATTTCTTCCAATGATGCCCTCCATGGTTTCTTTACAGATCTATGTGCTGTTGGCTTCTAGTTTTTTTGTTTTGTTTTTGTGGGTTTTTCTGTTAATCTTCACTGAGGTTATTTTTTTCATTGATTTTTAGAGAGAGTGTCCCAGTAACATCCTTTTTAGCAGGCTTTTTTGTTCGTTCGTTTGTTTGTTTGTTTCTGGTACAGGAGCCAATCTAGGATTGCGTTGCATTTCTGTAGCTGTGGTGTGTTTTTTTAAAAAATATATTTGCATTTATTTCAGAGAGGACGGGAGAGGGAGAGAGAGACAGAGAAACATCAATGATGGAAGAATCATTGATCAGCTGCCTCCTGCACACTTCACCCTGAGGATGGAGCCTGCAACCCAGCATGTGCCCAGGATGGGAATCAAACCCAGGACCCTTGAGTCGTCAGGCCAATGCTCTATCCTCTTGGCCACACCAGCCAGGGCTAGCTGTGTGTGGGGGTTTTTTTTTTGGTCTTTCATGACGTGACATCGATATATTTGAAGTGTACAAGCCATTTATTTTCACCAAATGTCCCTCAATTTGACTATTACTGATGTTTCCTCATGATTAAATTCGAGTTATTTTTTGGGCAGGCATACCAGAAAAACCTGGTTTGTCCCATTTTTTATTAGGGAGTTTCTGCCAGGTTTCTCCACTGTAAGATTACTACTTTTCCTTTTGTTATTAACAGTAATTTGTGAAAAATACTTTTATTTTTATAATGTTTATTTATATAAATACTAGAGGCCCAATGCACAAGATTCGCGCACTGGGGGGCAATGTCTGCCTGCCAGCTTAGACCCGATTCCCCCAGGGATCGGGCCTAAGCCGGCAGTCAGACATCCCTTTCACAGTCTTGGGCTCTCATAGTCCAGGACCCCTCGCTCCTTACCACCTGCCTGCAGCGGAAGTGGGAGAGGCTCCCGCTACCACCACTGCACTCGTCAGCTGTGAGCCTGTCTTTTGGCTGAGTGGCACTCCCCCTGTGGGAGCACACTGACCAGTAGAGGGCAGCTTCTGCATTGAGCGTCTGCCCTCTGGTGGTCAGTGCTCATCATAGCGACCTGTCGTTCTGCCTTTTGGTTGATTTGCATATTAGGCTTTTATGATATAGGATGTATCCTCTTTCTTCATCGATCCTGGTTTTCACATCCTTGAGTCTTACCCAATAAATGTATTATTACTCAGATGTTTGCTACATGGTGATTTTCTGATCCATGTGTTCGTCTACATTTATTATTCTGCTATGAGAATGAACTCTCTTTTCTCCTGTCTTACCTATCTGTCAATGGGCTATAACCTATTATTTTGCTCAAATTGTCCCATATTTTGCTAGTGGAAGTCCACCTACCCTTTTCTTGATGACTAGGAGCTGCCATTAGGTTTTATTCCTACATCTAGGAGGGAAGAACCTTAGGTCCTGATGAGTAAATGAGTGTGTCCCCTGCACTCAGTCAGGTTTGCACCTTTGCTCTGTATTGCTAAGTGTCTGGTTTCTCTTTCCTCCTGATTAAATGCTGCTTTCTCTCTCTGAGATCTTTAACACTTGGGATGAGATGGAAGTAGCCCCAGGACAAAGTAATGTTGTGTATTTCAAAACACTTTAATCATTTTCATACTGTAAGATTATGGTTGTATTCTGTATTAGTATCTCTGAGCAAGCACATTGGAATGACTAAGATATTATGATTCGTCAATTTTACTTAAAATTATATTCTGTATTTTGTTCTGCATATTTTCAAGTGTTCCAAACTGAATATATTTTAGTATTATTTAAATATTTACACTAATAAAAGAGAAAGATGCAAATTGACAGTATCTTTGCGACGCCCACCAGCCAATCGGGTGAGTATGCAAATTAACCCAACAAAGATAATGGGTTAATTTGCATATGCAGGTGCCAAGCAGCGGGGGGGCGGGGGATGCTTGCGTCATCGCCATGGTGATGACATAGGCATTCTGGACCGTCCCAGCCACTCCGGGCCTCTGGGCAGCATGGGAAGGCAGAAAGGCGGCTCAGACCGAAGCAAAGGCGGTGCCAGCAGCCAGGGGAAGGAAGTCCCATTCTTGCACGAATCTTCATGCATCGGGCCTCTAGTTAAATTTTATTTGTCGTCTTGGTTAAGAAGTGTGGAAATAAATTATAACAAAATTTTACCTTGGGTAGGAGCAGTCACAAAAGCCTGAAAGTATTGACGAAGATTTTTGTGGTAATTATTTCAAGAACATTGAATGTTGGACAACAAAAAATGAAAACATAGATTGCAACAGTGACTTACAGGTGTTTCCCTCATTATATGTGAGTATCTTGTCTTGCCATGTTAACACAGAATTTATTTTACTCCCAGTGCATACAAGTATCAGCCTAAATTCTGTTTGACCAAAATTTTTATTAAGGTGTTTAATTTGTTAATTTTTAGGCTTGGCTCTTTGTGAATGTGGTAGCACTTAGTAAGATGTTGGCCCCATTTTCTGTTTCTTTGTTCCCCCTTACAACAACGTCATTTCATGATCTGCTGCCAGTTCATCTCTTTTCTCTCCATTGTCCCACCAAAACCCCACCAGTCAAGGTTACCAGTGACCACGTTGTTCAATCCAGTGGTCTGCTCCCCTTACCACAGTCTGTCAGCATTTAACACAAGGGAATACTCTCTCCTTCTCTATGCACTTGCTCCCTCCCAGTGTGGAAGATCAGATTCGAAAATGTCACCCTCAATCATCTCTGGGAGACATTGAGGCTATGGCTCATTTTAACTTATTTTTTGCTCTGTGAATTCTGAAATGAAAATATGTCTAGTAAAAATTTTAAAGGGATTACTTAAACATTTTATGAAGTGTAATAAACATATAATAAAGTGTGCTTATCAGAAGTATATGGCTTGACAAATACATTGGCACCTGGAGCTTCCTTTTAAGTTCCTCGCTCTGTCCCCCTACCATGGCCACTATCCTGAGTAAGGGAGTCATTTTTCCAAAGCTGCCCTTTGTCACTCAGGTTTGGGCTACAGTAACATTTGTCTTTTGATGTTCTGCTTTCAAATTTTTACCTTTTTTATAACACTTTTTTTTATATTAACTGTTAAAATTATTTATCCCCATAGAAATGCAGTAATATAAAATGGAATTATTTATTCTCCTTTCCAGAATAAAGAACTAATTTCAAATATCAGAAATGTTTCAAACCAGGAGGAACACATGGTAGGTCATTTTATTTGTCTTTAAATCAAATTATATACATAAGCTATGTAGTAAGACTGGAAGAATCTGTTGATGGGTGGAGCACTTGGAGAGTGATATAAAATAGGGTTATTAGAATTGGGAAAGGAAAAAGAACCTTTATTTAAAACAGTGTGTTTCCTTACATAGGTCTATATGAATTTTATACAGACTTGCTTCTGTGTTTGTTAAAAATCTCTTTAAAGTTATAATTTAAGCTTAACTTCTATGTAGCCTTTCTTTTTCTTTAAAAAATAAAATTTGCTTTCAAATGCCCAAGACAGCATAGTAATGGGCCAGTATGTATCGTCATTAAGGATGCAAAGAAATAGGTAGAAACCATGAGGGCAGCATGGAGGGGAGAGAAAATGTGGTCTTTTGGGAAATTGCTAAAAGTCAGAAGACCAAGAGGCCGAGAGGGTTAGAAGGAGTTGTGTATAGGAGCAGATTTAGGAGAGCTTACTGTTTGCTTAATGGTTGCTCACATTTCTCGTTTTCTTGCACCATCTTAAAAAGTAGCAGATATTCACGCTGCAGGGCACACACTTGGCACTAACTGCCTCAGGAGAGGAGGAAGTGAAAGGGAAGGACAGGAAATAGTCAGCAGGGAGGAAGGTGAGAAGTTTGGCCCGGTTATGTGGGGCCTTGAAGGGGTCATAGACATTACAGCAGCAGTCATAGTCTCCAGTGGGACTGCTAGTAACAGTACCTTGAAGAATTTAAATAATTTAGCCTGTATACGGAATCTGAGTCATTTCTCACGATGTTATCTGACTTCTTCCTTCCACAGTTAATTAAAAAACACATTGAAAAACTGGTGACATTTGGATAAAATAAGGGAAGGGAAACTATTTGGATGGTGATAGTAAATAACCATAGAGTGGTGATATTAAGGGAAACCTGTAGACATATAAAAAGTAGAAAACATTAAGGAGTGGAAAGGACTCCTTTTTTCCTCTTACATCCCTTTGAGTCTGGAAGGATGGTGGTAGAAAACGGGGGATTACTCTGGCCAGTGTGGTTCAGTGGGTTGGAGCACCCTCCCATACACCGAAAGGTGGCAGGTTTGATCCCTGGTTGGGGCCCATGCTTGGAGGCAGCCAATTGATGTCTCTCTCTCTCTCTCTCTCTCTCTCTCTCTCTCTCTCTCCCTCTCTCTCTCTTCCTTTCTCTAAAATCAATTTTTAAAAAGCGGGGAGGGGGGATCTTTCCACTGCCCACTATTCCTTTTCTCTGTGTTACCTATTTGTGTTTTTAAAAATGATCCATTTCACTTATTAAAAGTTGTTTTAAAATGTGGTAAACAGTTGTTTGGCTCTCTGATGGTATATAGCAATTTTAAAAAATAACATAAAGGATATTTTTTTCCTGTTTCAGGATGTTGTTGCAAGAACACATAGAGATGGGTTTCACATCCTTATTGTTTCTATTAAAACGGGAAAACCCAATGCAAAATGGAATTTGAATGGTACAGTGAAACTGCATGCATGTTTATTATCTAATTACTGTATTCTGTATTTTTGTCATTGACCCAAATCCCCATTCTCTGTTAAAACACATTGAAAAAGTGAATTTCTGTTAATCTCAAAAATGAATAATCTGTTTAGTTGGGGGACTTAAAACTTTGTACTTAATGGACTGGAAATTTTAAATTAAGTTAAATAATTTTAAACTTAATGGTGGAATAGAAAACCATTGTTCCAGATGTTAAAAAAACAACAACAAATGGGCAGGCAACATCTTAATTGTATTTGAAGTAAATTATATTCTGTTTGTTGAAAATGGCCATCGTCAAGGTTTGAAAATTATTGTTCTTTGAAAAGTTTTTTTAAAACATTAGTTTATAACTTAGGAGTAGAAGTAGCATATCTGGCAGCTGTGGCTGCTGGGGTCTGTGAGCTCCCTTCCCCCCACACACTAGCCCTTCTGTGGCTCATTAAGCCGTAGTTCTCCGTGCCCAGAGAAAGAGCATCCTCACATCATGCAGTTTTCAAGGGAATGAAGGCCTTCACACACCCTGCAGTTGCTTTTGCTGTCATTTTCCAGAGCGGCTGCTGGGCTGACAGGAGCCAACAGCCTGTGAGGGCCTTGAGGGTCATTCTGCTCTGCTTCATCCACTGGGGACACAGAGGGGAAGCCAGGCTCTGTCTCTGAGAGGCGCCCAGTGCAGGGGAGGGGCAGAAGCAGTGGGGTGAACAGGATCACTGCAGAGAGGCACAGACTGGTGTCTTGTGGGGGAAGCTAATGACCTCTGGGGAGGGCGGTGGAGGGGCTGATCTGGAGGAATGTGAAGCAGGGCCTCCTGGAGGTGATATGTGGGCCAGGCCAGGCCACGTAGAGGGAGCAGGGACCTTGCTGCCATTCTGCTACCTCGCCGGTCCCCCTTCCTTCCAGGTGCTAGACGCAGGGCTGAGGCCCTGCTAGTTAGAAACTGGAGCAGTTGCTAAGTCCAGTGAGTTCTGCACGGTTCTGGACATTCTGTTTCTTCTTAGACACCAACCCAGACTAGGTGCTTGAGGTCAGTCGTTCATCCCAGTGAGTGCAGGGAGACAAAGTCCTCAGGAAGTTGGTGACTCAGCAGGGGCCAGACTGTAGCCAGTGCAACTCTGCTCTCTGCATGAGGCGAGATTTGGCCCAGGTTTTACAACTGAGTGTGTACTAGTGATGGTATTTTGATAAGATCACATTATGTAACTAGCAACTATCCAATATCTGTGTGTGCTAGGGAAATATTCAGCATTTGTTAGCTTGCTTTGTATTTTTGGAGTCTTCTGAGGAATGAGCTTACATTTAAAACTTAAGAGAAAACTGTTAATTTAACTGTTTACTTTCTTTATCCCCACCCTCACTTTCACCAGTTTCTCTTTCTATGATGGGGCCGAAAGGATATCTCTCTGCATCAGATTGGCCTCTCATGATTGTGAGTATGTTTTACCATTTTTTTTAAAAAAAGAATTTTGTATCCTAATTTGAAAATTGAAAATTCTAAGAGCTCAGTGATGGTAATCCCTTAGTAGCTAGTGCCCTGACATGCCCTCTTTGTCCAGAGTGACTGGAAAATAAAGGATTGAGAGTTGAATGAGAAATACTGATTTTCAAATGATAATAAGTCTTAGGTGATTACAGTTGCTTCTCTCCCTACAGTTTTACATGGTGATGTGCATTGTCTACATTTTATGTGGCTTGCTCTGGCTGATGTGGTCTGCTTGTTATTGGAAAGATATATTAAGAATTCAGTTCTGGATTGCAGCTGTCATATTCCTGGGAATGCTTGAAAAAGCAGTGTTTTATGCTGAATACCAAAACATCAACAGCACTGGCCTATCAAGTAAGTTGTGACTTTCCCCAAAAACACAGTACGATCTACGGGGCCTCAGTGTCTGAGCCCAGCTGTGAGAACAGCCATGTGGTAGGTGAGGAGGAGGGAGGCCGTGGGGAGACCAGGAGTGTGATTCTGATCTGGGCCAGCATGTGTGTCGTCTTCATTCTTTATTTTTCCTCTTGTTGCCTTTCCCTCCCTTTCCTCCTGGGGAGAAGAAAATCTCGTTCCCTTATGGCCAGTCACCTTGACCGGATTAAAAACACAATGTCTGGATGGGGAGCTTTGGGTGCTGCCAGTTTTATCATACTTCTGTTTCCCTCCCACCCTCTACTTTTTTCCTCCTAAAAACAAAAAAAACGCACCAAGAATATATGCCCCTGGCGAGTAAAATCAGTGGTGCCTGCAGCCTTCTTGCATTGTCCTGCCTCTTCTCGCAGGCAGAGGTCTCCATGTGAAGTTTGTGTGTGAGCAGCGGGGGCGTGTGCTTGGGCATCCGCAGTGTATGCCCAGACTTCTAGAAGGTAGATAGATGTCAAGAAGCCAGAGAAGTCAAGGAACAGTTCATTCCATCGCTGAGCCGAGGAGGGGAGAGGCCCCGAAGGGCTGACCGCGCTCAGGGACGTGCTGCTGAGGTGTGAGGTGTCAGGGGCTCAGATTGTCTGCTATTCATTTAACATGCTCTAAGGGGGAAAAACAGTTGGAATACAGATAAAACAAATTTGGCGTAATGCTGATAATTACTCAAGCTGAGTGATTGTACATGGATTTCATTTACTGTCTCTGCTAGGGAATATTTGTCATTTCCCCAAGTAAAAAGTTTAAAAGGGCTCGTACAAGAGAATAAAGAAAGGACAGCATCCAGGGAGGCACGTGGGAGGTGCTATTACTCCACAAGGAGTTCAGTGACATTTTTGTGTCTCTTACCTACTGGTAAATAAGGAAGGAAGGAAGGATGGGGCTGCTGCTGATGGCTGGGATTGAAGTGTTCCTGAATGTTAGAAGAGGCAGGTGGTCATCTCTTATCTGTGGAGTGGACTGCGGCAAGGGCAGCCAGAGCCTGCGCCCCATCTGCTGTCCTCAAGCCCTCTGTCTGGGACGACACCAGCAGGGCTTGGGAGACAGACCCCAGACTGCTGTCAGTGTTGAGTCCTGTGGAGAGGAGAGTGCCAGGAGGCTGGGCAGGGGCTGATGTGTGGTTTCCCAGATGGGAATTCTGTTACCAACGCTGTCTTGCTCGCATTGGTCCTGGAAGAAGAGACTTTAAAGGGGTGGGAGCAGTGATGGTTAAGAACCACGGTGGGTTTTAACAGTAAGAATGGGTCTTATCAGGTGGACTTCCTTCTGTTGTGCTTCTAGATTGGTTGTGGGAAAACGACCGTGTATCTGTACCTCTTCAAGGTACTTGGCAGGTCTTGTGATTTCTTGTGGACAAGGTGGAGAAAGGAGCTGAAAGAAGAATGAGGTGGTTCACACCTGGTTTCTAATTCTTTCTAATTCTCTCCATCTGCACTGCCAGCACTCTTTCTGGGA